ATGTGACCTCAGTTTCTGGGAACAAAGCATCTCTGTACAAGTATGTGTTTCCTCCTGAGTTGGAATGCCCCACTCTGGCTATCATTGGTCTTGTGCAGCCACTGGGAGCCATTATGCCCATATCTGAGATGCAGGCCAGATGGGCCACACGTGTCTTTAAAGGTAATACAGGTTGCAAACCATTTATCATACCTATAAGTAAATCCTGTTACTGAAGTAATTTGTGTCACAATCTGTCCTTTCAAACAGGCTGCACCAAGCTTCCCCCAGTGGCTTCCATGCTGAAAGATGTCCAGTGCAAGCAGGAAACAATGGCTAAAAGGTAGAATATTCTATGCTTTTTTTATATTTCACAAATAATTGTTTTATTATTATTGTTTTTAGACACCAAATCTTGTTATCCACACTGTGTTTAGTTCAAGTCTGTTTTTCAGGTATGTCCCCAGTCAGAGACACACTATCCAGGTCGACTATCTCAACTACATGGATGAGATCGCAGGACGGTTGGGGGTTCGACCCAACATCCCCAGGCTGCTGCTGACTGATCCCAGGCTGGGATTGAAGGTGCTGTTCGGACCTGGTACTCCGTACCAGTATCGTCTCAAAGGGCCAGGGAAATGGGCTGGAGCCCGTCAGGCCATCTTCACTCAGTGGGAGAGGGTGGCTCAACCCATGCAGACCAGGCCCTGTGATGATCCCCAAACCAAGAGATCTTTCATATGGCCTCTGATTATGTCTGCTGCTGTGGTGGGCTGGGCTGCCTACGTCAACAGGAACAACCTTCCAACTGCTCTGTTGGACAACATAATAGTTTACCTGCCTGCACAGGATTGAATATAGAGTGAAAACTTTATACCACATTCTGATTTGCCGGTATGGTTAATATCAACATATAAAACATGTAATAAATGTAAGACAGCTCATTAATCTTAATAAGGTAATGCGTAATATTTCTGTCATTTAACATCAGGCAGAAGAGAAATAGTCAACGAGCAGCACATTTAATTTGCACTCCAACACACTTTAGCAAATATGACCTTGCACGGTTTACATCACTCTATCTCCAGGCTGGATCGTGAAGTAGGCCTACATTGGTCAATGATGCCACCTAATGGCAGTTTCAAATCCCAGCTAATGCTTGGCTTGGAGAAAAAAATACACCTAAGCAAAGTCCTTCCTTTGTGTGTCAATCATAGATTGTATATATAAATGTGTCAACAATGCATATACTGGGATCATGTGATTACGGATCTCCCTCTGGGATCTCAATATGAGAGGGTTTATTTTTACTAATCAATGATAGATAGATAGATAGATAGATAGATAGATAGATAGATAGATAGATCTATCAGATCAGTGTTCAACGAAACCGCCAGTCGTTAACCACCGGTGGACCCCGGAAGGAGAATCGTCGACGCGTGACTCGTTAAGATTTAGGTTGCCAGGTTTGACATTTCCAATGATATGACCACCGTACATTTCACAGAATATTCATACACAGTAATTGTATCTGTTTGGTTATGACTTGTTTACGTTACAACTTCTTTATCACCATAAACACAACAATTACAGAAACGCAGACGTCGGTTAAAAACATCTGGGAACTTTAAAAAAAACAAAGCATGTCCACATTTACTAATTATAATTTTGTAAATAAAATGAAAAGACAAATTATATTTGCCAGCTATTTGTATCTCCTGTCGTAATGTAGCTTTATCTACATATTATTGAAATGCTATGAGTGTGTTGCAAATTAAAGTTTAACAAAAACTGCACCTTTTTGACGGATGTCTCATTGACCACCTGGCTGAGCAGGGGGTTAGGAGTTTTAAAAGGAGGATATGAGACGCTAAATCTGGCAACCACGGTCTGCCATCTTTGATTGTGCGACAGGCCGCGGCGCGAGCAGCGGGGCCTCACACAACTAGAAAAACGGTGTGACACGAGATAACGGGAGGGCATAACGAGGAAACACCGGACGACCGCGCACCGGTTCCCACAGCAACGGCCGAACAGACTAGAACAGGCTGACCGTTGAAACAGAAGACACACAGCCGTGCATGTGGAGAGCGGTTTGTAGACACAAGCTAACCATCGTTAGCAGAGCAGGGTTAGCAGGCTAGCCCGCTCGCTTTTGTAATCCGCCGGCCAGACACATATCCGTGCACCAAAAACCACGCCGAAATCGGATCACACATCAAGCCGCACAACAGCCGCACGGACAAAGGAAGCACCGGCAGTGCCAGGTGAGTCAGCATGTCATGCACGGGGAACGTTTGAAGGTTTTTGCCCGGTAGATGAGGTTCACACTAGGCTAGTTGGTTAGCATGCTGTGGAGGGTTGATGTGATGGCGACTAGAGAGAAACGAAACTATGCTAATCGATGCGAGCTGTCGGCCTGCTCTCTTTACATCTCCACTGTTTCATATTTTACATCAAGATTTATGTTGTTTGCTAGATTATACTGTTCACAGTTTTGTGTTTGACTTTTGCCCAATTGAAGAATTATTTGAGCCCGGTCTGGTTGAGTTCCGGGCGATGAGGGCCTCTAACGTTACTCCCCTGCCCCTCACCCAGCCCACCAGTATGGTTTGATTCATGAGGAGAATGGCCTGCAGCTTAATATGTGATTTCCAGAAACAATATTATAAATGTGGCTGCCATCTCGGTATTTTCACTGAAATATGGACCTGTGCAGACAATACGTCAAATCATGAGTTATTTCTGATTTTATTCAGGTTAGCCACGTACCTTCACACTCTTGGTATCTTCGGGATCAAACAGATGTGGTCTTTAAAGAGGATTTGATTTTTTATGTTGTACATTAAGGGGCTTTGCAGGGTTGGGGTGTGCAAGACTCTAGGCTAAATTATGAATGAACTCTGTTTGCAGTGGAAACCACCTGGGGGATAACTAATGGGCAAAATGGTCGTGTTGTATACATACACATCCATGATTTTAAAAATGGGTCAGCATCTGAATAGTTTTAGGAAGGGCATCCGCATATATTGATTGGTTTAGTACTTATTGATTATACTGGTGGTAACATTGCCAGATGGAAGGCTCAAGCAATTGTGCCAAAGAAAAAAAATGCAAGTGATTTCTGTCTTGTGATTCTCTTCACAATGAACTGACTTTGCACGTTATACACATCTGTTGGTCACCTAAAGTGTTCTGTGTATATTTCAAACTTGCATTTCAAATGTTCATTTACCCCATTGAACCAAAGCACATAAACATCTAATGAAACTTGTGAATTCAATTACCATAAACTCTCAAGGGAGACTATTTCTGTGGTATTTATCGTACTAGATAAACAAAATGAACATAAGTGGTTTCCCGTGCTCATCATTTGTTATACTTCTGGTTAAAAGTATCCCCTTGCATTGAAACACATAATGTGAAGATTAGTTATTAGATGCTGAAAGTGAAAACCCTATCAGTTAAATTAACGGATACAATAATATATTTCTGTTTACGTGCCAGGACATGTAGTACAGTATCTTAATGTATAAGTTCACAGTCCACATACTCAACCTTAGTCTGTGTTGTAGCTCTATTATTTTAAATGTATATACTTACAATTGCCATCATATTGCAGCCACACAAGACAAACCAATGGGGACATGGAAATACAACCTGTTCTTTCAGCCCCCCCATAATTTTAGGCCATCTACATGACTTCAATGTTGGAAAGGTCAGTTCAATGACCCCATTGTAAACAGAGTGGTGTGCGTGAGCACTTTATTGTAGAAGATGAATCATTTGCTATTGGGGCACTTTTTGTGTGAAGTTACAATCATTGTTGAATTTTACGTTTATCCTGTACAAACACACTTGATTTTGTACAGCTAATGACAGAAAAAATAACTTTACTAAAGATGGTTTGATGGATGGAATATTCCAGCTGTGTTGGTTTTACTATCTGTAAGGAGCCTTCTTAACACGGTCTCACTGTTGCACAAACTGCTTCTTGGAGGCAGAATCACCGACATGTGGTTGCAAAGGGGAGGGAAATGGCTGGACTGTGGTGCAGACGTTGCTGTAGGGGTGCAGGTTCATGCTGGAGGCTGTGGAGCAGGGACGGTATTGTATGCTTCTTGGCAGATCTCAAGTTTTTTCTGGCTAGGTCGTGTTACAACTATCTGAAAATAGTTAGTCCAAGATCCCTCTCCTTTTGCCCACAGTTACCATATGTTGATAGTTTACGTGATGGAGTCTGGGATGTACACTGACTTGATCCATTCTGTGAGAAGTGCTTATTTTGGCACTATGGTTCTTCAGGGCATTGGCAACCAGAAAACATAACTAGTGTGTCATTGCACAGAGGTATAAGGACTGCTGTAATTTGAGCTGGTTGGCCCATCTTCTGCCATATACTTCTTAAACTGACATCTCACACAAAGACAATTGTGGGCAATTCTCAGGGNTCGACTCCTATCCTCATGTCTCAGTCCCTCCCACAGGAGATGCGAGCAGAAAACGCCTGCTGCTTCCCCTCCTCTCTCCTCGGTTCCCCTCCTCGACTCCTCTGCTCGCATCTCCTGTGGGAGGGACTGAGACATGAGGATAGGAGTCGAGGAGGGGAGTCGAGGAGGGGACTTAGAGAAATGAGAAACCTTCTGTGTCTCCATCTGTCCAGGTTTGCCATCAACCGCAGCCCAGCCCCATATCTCACCTGCATTGAGGGCCACGGTGGGGTATCGCAGCTAGAGGAGGCCCGATCCTGTCTCCAGACACACGTCTCTGTGATGGAAAGTCGCCTCTGCAGGCCAGGAACTCAGCTCACCCTGTCTGAAGCCAAGGAACGAGCGGAGAATTAGGAGGAATCTGATGGGAGGGACAGAGGAGGCTTTCTATCAGATGATGAGATATAATCTGAAGAGGCAGCCTCACTCTCACACAGGTTAAGGCAGTGGAAAAACCACGGCAATAAATGGATTTTGGAAGAGCCACATGGTGTGTTATCTTAAAACCATAATGAATATGTCTTTCCCTGCGCCTGAGGGTGAGTTTCAGTGTCTAGTTTGTGATGGTAATTTCCGTAGAGACGACAACCTGGTTCCAGTGTGGTGATCAGGGATAATACAGGTCATGCATGACTGCCTGTCTTTGTCTGCGGGTGTATCTCACTCCATCTGTCTGTATATCCAATGACACCAATTACTATTGCCAATATTTTGAAGAATGATTCAAAGGTTTATTGTCATACACAACTATGATGTAGTATGTAATGAATTAACAAATTGGGTCACAGGTTCCTCAACAATGCAATTACAAGAAATAAAACACATTTTAAAAACAACAACAATAAAAATAGTACAAGCTCAGGCATTAAGTAGTCTTATGGCCTTTGGGAAGTCCATTCAATTGAATTTAAAACACAAAATATGGCATTCATCCTGCTGATTTTCCATTATTTGTGTGGCTTGGATGCATAAAAGATCAATTTTCTTACAACCACTTCTAAACTCTTTACCCCAACCAGACGTCCTTCCCCCCCTCCCCGCTTCTAGTTGCTGTATCCTGTGTGGTGAAGCTGGCACCAGGCTTTTGGAGCTTTCCTGCGCACACGTTTTTGATTGAAGCGCTGAAGTTTTTTGGGTTTTCTACATGTGTGGCGTAGACCATCTTCTTCCCTTCTCTGTTTACTGAACAGTAAAACCCGGAGGCCACAGACCGACGTGGTTCACTGAGGCTCCTCGTTCCCACCAGAAAGGAACCCATTTCATGAAGAATAATACTAATAATGTGACCAGGACCGAATACATTTCCTTTCCCGCAGCTCTGCAGATCAGGTTTTTGTTATATTATTCTTCACATTACAGTATTGG